CTGACAAGCAAAGCCCTATAGTCTGTCAAAGCAGTTGGTCTTCTGAGACATATCCCAGCAAAGAGTGCAGAAGGGAGAGCACTCTACCAACAATGAACTTGGGACACTCAACCCAAAGTTGGATAGAAAGGATGGAGGCCATTTACATGAAGGCTTCTTTCTAGCTACCACATCATTAAGATTATCAAGAAAGCACACCGATCCCAGACACACTGACAGTTGTCCACAATTCTAAACTCTCACTTAGAACATGGTGGAGACAGCCCTTGGCCAGGGTTTGAAAGCAGGTCACTTGTTTCTGCCAGAAGTTCCCTTAGAAAAGTGTCCACTAACTCTCAAAATTAGACCTCCTTATGATTCAGACTGCAACCAAACCAAAGTGGAACTCCCCTTAATTGCATGGATAATTCAATAGCTTCTTAACCCAAATTGTGCTCTTTACAAAATACTTTACAGATGCTTCAGATACTCAGAGTTGGAACAAATACTTGCTGTCTCCTTCATATCCCAGAAGGTCAGTTTCCACATGTGTAGAATTGAGGATTTTGCCCTCAATAGAAACATTCATTTTACACAAATGTTCAATGTATGATACAATCACAGTATCAGTAAGTAAAGAACTCAAAATTAAAGGATGAGAAAGTTAAAAGGCATTCTGTGATCAGACCCTTGCTCTTCAAAATGCTATCCATGGACCAGTCACTTAGGCATCAACTGGGATCTGGTTAGAAGTACAGAATCTCAGGTCCACCCTGGAACTTCTGAATCAGGAGCTGCATTTGACAAGATCACTGAGGGATTTGAATGCACCTTAAGGTTGGAGACCTAGATCCCTGGTTTTCAAACTATGTCTTGTGGCAGGCTTCATGGGCCTCTATGAGGAATGGGCAAGGAAGAGATTGGGAAGAAGGAGGGGAGTGGGGACTGGGTTTTACTTTAGGCAGGCAGCCTGACTCTGATCTGCTTGGGAGGTTGAAACTCCAGCCAGACCAAGATATTCCATGGCCACAAAGGTTTGAGAAGTACTATTCTAGACCACTGATCTAATTATGTACATGACACAACTGAGATCTTTCAAAGAGCATAAGGGAATTTTACCAAGATTGCCTCAAAATCCCTTGATCTCGGTTACAGAACTCTGAAATTTATAAAGCCTGGGAATCAAGAAAAAGCTTCCTAGTCAGTGCTGATGGGATAGCTTCCAACATGCAAAAGTAGAAGCAAAGACTGAGAGCCTGGGCCCCACCAGGAGAGTACAGGATGTGCAAAGCTGAGCCCTGGCAAAGCCCTGGGAGGTGAGCAGCATTTTGTGCCACCTGGTTTTCGGGAGAGGACAGACAACACACACAGATAATAAATGCCAAGGCCACACAGGAGGAGAAGAGCTGACTCCAAACCCACATCCTGGGTCCCAAAGTCCAGGCTCTAGACCCCCTCATTCCACCCCTTCTTGAGCACACAGCCCACAGCCCCTCTGTGTGCCATATGCATTGACCCAGCCTGTGAGATAACTGGACACACAGCCACTCAAGAAAGGGAGCACATTCATCCTCGCAGATCCATGGAACACAAACACTGAGCTCCCATGCCAGTGCCTAGGGATAAGCCCTATGCATGGAAAACACAAACTTGGTTGCTATAACCTTGTGGTAGTGAGCATTAGGAATCTATCTTAATATCCATTGTTATGTATCTGACATCTCCCTGACTTGGGAAAGTTAGAAAGATCAAGAAGGCAGGGATGGTCAGAGGAGGAAAAGAAGAAATACTCTACAATATATCTACATATTAGTTTTATGGCCTCATTTTTACACTCATAGTGCATGGAGCTTTCTGCCATGGGTGCTCTCATCACCGATCACCTTTAATTAAAAGTATATATATATATATATATACTATAGGAAAACTACTCAGCCAATAAAAAAGAATAAAATAATGCCATTTGCAGCAACATGGATAGACCTAGAGATGATCATACTAAGTAAGACAAAGACAAATAACATATGATATCACTTATATGTGGAATCTAAAAAAATGAGACAGCTGAACTTGTTTACAAAACAAAAATATACTCACAGACATAGAAAACAAACTTATGGTTACCAAAGGGGAATGGGGAAAGGGATAAATTAGGAGTTTGGGATTACAAGATACAAACTACTACATATAAAGTAGATAAACAAGGTCCTATTTTACAGCACAGGGAACTACATTCAGTATCTTGTAATAATTCATAACAAAAAAGAATATGAGAAAGATTTTACATATATAATATATATTATATATATAATATATACACGTATAACTTTATCACTATGCTGTATATAAGAAACTAACACATCATTGTAAATAAACTATACCTTAATTTAAAAGAAGGTGAAGTTGGATGAATCGGCCAGCAGATGGCACAATGAGCAAGCAGCATCAAATTAGCATCAAACCCTAGCTAGTGTCATTTCAGGCACAAAGCTGGCCCCTTTCCTAAAGCCCTCTCCAAGTATCTTGGGAACACTCAAGCTGGGCAATACAACATACCAAGGCCACCTTCCAGCATTGTCTTTCTTCACTGCCTACCCGCCTCCTTCAAAGGCAGCAGCTCCAGAGGCAGTAGGCAAGGGGAACCACACTGCTAAACCCCTCCTGGTCCTAGAGGCTGTCACAGCTCCAGCCATCAGGGAGTTGGTCTGGGCAAATCCGCACCATGTCTTCCTTCCCTGGGTTGTCAGTAGCAGCCACTCTGCTCAATCAGGGCCACTCAGGGTGCCACAGGGGGCAAATCTACGTTCTGGTGGGAGCCAGCCCTCACCCTCACCCCCACCCCAGCAGTAATCCTCAAAAGATAAAGACCTAACGTCATCTCTCCAAACTTCCTTCTAAAGTCAGGAAGGAGAATTGGAAACCTCATCACAAGCCAGGAGAATGAGGCGGCCTCCAGAGCGGGACGCATATGTGCAGCCCAGCAAGGACAAGGAAGGCGGTTTCTGGGACACACAGGGCTACATCTGACTCACCCATGCACCCCTCTGGTCTACCTGCTGCCTGGCCAGTGGTAGGTACACTCAGGATTGTCAAATCACTAACCAAATGAGTGAATCATCGAATTCTTCTCAGGGAGAGAAGTTTGCCTCTATAGGGCGGTCTCTGAGTTGGACCCAATCTAGTTTCCCAGCCACATCTCCCATGGGCGTGTTCCACAAACATCTTGTCTCAGTTCCCCGAGTGTGTCTGGTCCTTCTCCTATCTCCCAGCTAGGGAGACCCCTTTTACTTCAAAACCCGCTCAAACGGCCCTCATCTCTGAGGCCTTCCGCAGCCCCTGGCTCTGTCAGCAGTTCCCCACTCTTCACGTTCACCAAACCTTATTCGGTCTGGTTTCAGACTGTGGTTTACAGGTCTCCTGGAAGGTGGCCCCACACCCCCTAGCGCTGACTGCGGACTTCAGTCTGCTTTGCGTTATGAAGTTTGGTGCCCAGATCTGCCCTCTCCCATCACGCTGCACTCACACCCATCTGCACTCACAGATGGCTGGTCAGCAAAAGCCCTTTCCAACCCAGCGGTTGTCTGATGCACCAGAGGCCAGAGCACCTCCCTCCAGGCCGGCCGCAGGGCAGCGTGCCGTTCCGCCCGGCAGAGGTGGCTAGAGTCCTGTGCGCTCCACTTAGCACGCAGCCATGCCTCGGGCACCGACTCTGGGTGTTGGTTCTCCCGGTCGGTCCATCTGCGTCGCAAGGCCTCGGGCACTGCGAGGGCCTGACCACTGGGCCCACTGCGGGGGCCTCTAATGCCCAGCCGTGCTCTGCAGCTCCCGCACGGGCTGACAGGAAATGTCAGGTGGACACCGCAGGCTGAAGGGACACCCTGCCCACCCTGCCCCCTCAGTGGATGCAGGTCCCCAGAGAGCCGCTAACATCCTGACTCCCTCCGAGGACCAGCTTCCCGAAGGGCCCAGCCTGAGATGCTTGGTTCTGGAGGGGTCCAAAGAACAGGTGGGGAGATGGGGTCTTGGTGAGGGACTGTCACCCCCGCCCTACTGGTCATGAGGACCCCCATCCTGAGGGGAGGCGGTGTGCAGAGAGGCCTGGGCGCAAGGTCACAGCCCAGCTGCTAGAACTTCCACGTCAGAACACTTGCTGGGCTGGCAGGTGGAGAGGAATGTCCCAGCAGGTGAGAAGGCCCAGATGTGGGGAATGTGCCGGGAACAGACAGGGACGTCTCTGCTGTGCCGATCGCAGAGGGACGAGCAGCTGAGGGGGAAGGATACGGCGGGAACCAAGGGTGCCCCAGAGTCTCCTCCATAGCTTACAGAGCAGCCCCGTCTCAGGCAGCAGCCACACGTCCAACCCAGGATTGACAGCAGGGGCTGAACCTCAAAGACGGCTGAACGCTCGACCAAGGCAGGACCGTCAGGCCAGCAGCAGAAGCTGCCTGGGAAAGCCTGCAACCCTGACACAAGGGACAGGGAGCCTAGGAGAAGGTCCCGGAAGACCTGACTCCCCAGTGTCTCTGAAACTCCTGCGCCGGAGGTAGCAGTCCACCCCCCACGGAGCTCGTGCACCCACCTCACCCCCAAGGGAGCAAAACAGGACCCGCGTCTTCCCCCACAGGGGCCCTGCGTCCCAGGAGACGGGGTGACCAGCTGCCCCGGTTTGCTGTGGGCCCTGCAGCGCTACATCCAGGAGAGACCGGGAAGACTGGGGATAGGTGGTCACCCGCCTGCCAGGCCTCCACCGCACAGCACAGGTGGGGGTGCTGGCCCGGGTCAGGGAGGAAAGGGGTGGTCCCTGCCCCCCAGGAACTGCAGCTGGGGTCTCCAGGTGACACTGAGCGGCCAGAAGCCAGGGGCTATGATGATGGACACCAGTGACCAGGAGACCTGACCCACAGAGCAGGGGAGGTGGCCAGGACAACACGGCCTCCTGGGGGCTCGAGGGAGGAGCAACCAACCAAGGCACAGCCCAGAACAGACCTCAAAAGAGCAAGAACGGACAGTGGGAGGCTGAGGGCAGTCACCCCAATAAATGAATTGTGATCCCTTGCCCAGGCTCTGCCCCTGAGCCAGTTTTCAGACCTGGAACCGACTAGGGAGGTGGCCGGGTCCACGGGGGAAGGACATTACAGTACTGTGGCAGGAGACACAGGAATGATCCCCCAGCCCTTCCCAAAGGGACCTCGGGCTCTGCACCGGGCGACCCAACACTGGGAAATGGGACAACCAGATAGTTCGAGGCCGTCGGACACAGGGCCCAACTCAACACAGGTATGGGAGACTCAATCAACTCTGTCTCTGCAGCCACCCCAGGGCCCGTGCTGGAGGTTCTGAGCAGCGGGTGTCACTTGTCTGAGGGACGCTGGGCCATTCCCCAGGATGTGTCACGTGGTCTTGAGCAAGAGAGCCTGGAATCCAACATCCTCCAGGATGAAGTGTGGGGTTAGTCAGATGTCTTCTGAGGAACCTTTCAGAACTTGGGATAACAGTTGATGCCAAGTGAAAAAACGTAAGAGAGAACGTTAACACTGCACGAACTCAAGTGAGTAAAGGGAAAATGCAGAGAAAAAGAACGGGGAAATATGCCCCAACTGTGAACGTTTCTGCCTCCGGCGATGCCTTATGAGCGTCTTTGGTCCTGACTCTTCACATCCTTTCTGCACTTTGCAAAGTCCCCACGGTGAGTACACAGATACACTCAAGAGGTGGCTGAACGGGTCCTCTGCCCAGAGCACATCAGTCTGCTCGTGCAAGCCCTGCAACCACGGTTAGGGGACGGCAACTCGTGCTCCAGACCCCCGCCCCAACTGAATCTAGCAAACAAGTAAGCTGGGCCCGTTTGCTCGGCCGCAGCATGGTGTCAGGAAGCCCCTCGTCCAGCTGTGGAGGGCCTGGCACCCGGGTCGGTGCTTCTGTGCTCAGAGACCGAGGACGGTAAGGAGCACGAAGTCAGGAGAGCTTAGGAGTGATGGAGACACAGAAAGAGCATCTCCCGCCTCCGTGGGAGGTGGCAGAATGATCTGTAACATGAGTGCAGGCGGGGCAGCGCCAGAAGTGCCCAGACACGCCCCTGGCTCCCACTCTGTGTGCCAGGGTCCGTGTGCAGGCACCACAGGACCAGCAGTGGCAACGTCTCCGCCCACATCGGCAGGTCCCCTGTGGTGCAGCTTCTCCCTGAGGACTCGGAGTGTCATGAAGACAAAAATCAGAAATACGTACAGATCTCAGGCTGGACCACACGATCCGGGCCGTGTGAAGAGGGCCTTGGCCAACCGGAGCTTGGAGCTGCCAGGGGACACAGCGGAAGCCAGGGACAGGGCCTGCAGATTAGAAACGGGCCAGAGGGGCGGGAGGTAAACCAGGAGAGTTGGGGCAGAAGAAACAAGGCTTGCTGTCTTCCCGCAGCTGCACGGCTGCCCCGGGCTTCTCCCGCGTGAGTCCAGGGCATGGAACTGAAGCCAGGCGGTAACCGACTGACTTACACAGACGAGAAGGAGCTCTTTCTCACGGGCAGAGCCCTGGACACCGGGGCACCTCCCCCTCAGGGATCCTCACCCCAGGTGGCGGGCCTGGGGGTGGGTGGCGGCCTTGGGGGGGGGGGCGGGACACTCCCTGACCTTTGGGGTCACGTACAGTTTGGAGCCTCTAGGCCAATACTGAGTCCAAAGCTGGCCTACGAAGACAGGAGGAAACCAGCCTCCGAGGGGCAGGAGGAGGCATCTGAAACACAAACAACCAGGGCGGGATGAGCACCCAGGTTGCAAAAAGAGCTCCCACAACTCAGCACAAAAAGGACAAGCAGCAAAGTAGACAGACAGGCAAAAGGCATTTCACACAGGAACCCAGCCCTGCGGGAAGGAGGGAAACGGAGAATTTGGGCCCAGCCAGCCCCAGGCCTGTGGTGCCCCGAACCCTGCCGCAGGAACAAACTGGAACCCGCTCCGGCCTGCGAGAGGCGCGTGCGGTGGGGCGGCACTTACCGCGGCGCGGTCTGCGCCTGGTTTGCGCCTCTCAGCGAAAAAGGGGGGGCGTGTGCCCGGCACAGAGAAGGGGCGGGGGTCTGGGAAGTCACCGGGGGCAGAAAGGACGGCGGGAGGGCCTCTGGGGCAAACAGAGGGATGGCGGAGCCAGGGAGAGGAGCAGGACAGAACAGCGGTGGCGACTTCCCAGGGGTGGCTTGAGCCAGGGGCAGGATGGACCAAGGTCACTGGGGATGAGAAGGAGGGGAAACTGCAAAGGCAGGTGCTCAGAAGGGCCCCCGAGACACCGAGCTCTAGAGGTGCCCTGGGGAGGAGGGACCAGAAAGGGAAGGTGACTCTGAACAGGTGCCCTGAGCTCCAGAGAACAGGCAATGTCCTGGGGCCACTGTCACCCCCAAAGGGCAATGGCAAAAACAGCAAGGACGTCCAACAGGAAAGACTGGGTGCATCTGGGGAAGAAGCAGAGCTTGAGGAGGGGACTCGCTCCTGTCCCGTGGGGTGCGGTCCAGGGGCAGTGGCAGGGAGGGAGCAGGAGCTGCAAGCAGGGGGAGGCCAGGTGGCCCAGTCTGGGAGGGAAGGCTGACTCACCCTGTGACCAGAGAGGGAGGGGGAGGAGGCCCGCTCTTCCAGGACTTCATTCGTGGAGGACATGGGAAGGAGCAGGTGAAGAAACTCACCGGGAAGTCAGACATCAGATTGTACTAAGGATCGGCGCCCACTGACTTGTATGGAAAATCAAAACTGAGTTGCAGTCGGGTGCCTTTCACAGGGACAGCCAAATACTAGCCCACGCCCACCTGCGACAGGGCCAGGCCACTCTTCCTGGGCCCACACACCCGGCAGAGAACCGGCCCGGCAGCCACTACCGTTGGAACTGTCCCCACATCAGACCACACTCCTCCCTTTCCTGTTCCCCTCCTCAGGGACCTGGGGCACCCTGCTTCTCAGCATAGAGGGGAGGGCCAGAAAAGGGGGTCCTTACGCAGCACCGTCACAGCTGTTCCCCACCAGCAGCCACATATCAAACGTCTCCGGCTCACTGGGCAAGTTCTCTTGCTTCAAGCAAGATTCGGGAGGAGCTCCAGCAGCAGCCCAGCATTCCGGGAACCGTCCCTCATGATTTGAAACCGCTAGGAGGAGGTTCTGGGGAGTCAGGACACAGCTGGTAACCATTGTATGGGCGCAAGAAGCCGAGGAGGGGATGCCGGCATGGGCTGAGTTGGATCTGGTGACTGTTAAGGTCCCCCGCAGCCCTGAGGCCTAAATCCCATGAAGGCAACCCTCCGCCCCCTCACCTCAGGGCCAGCATCCCTGCTTCCTCGGGCTTCTGCAAGGAGAGAGCAGGTGCAGGACTGCTGGAAGACAAAGCAGTCCTCTGCGGATCCAAAGTTTCCTAAGCACCCACCCCACCGTGTCGGGGCACCCAGCTTAGGGAAATGAGTAAGACACTGTCCTCGCCGTCAAGGGACCCAGCGCCGCTGAGCGGGCCACGGACTCTTGGAGAGCAGCTACAACCCAGGAGGAAAAGCCCAGGGAAGGAAGGCAGCAGCAAGGCGCAGCGTTACCAGAACTCCCAGACAAGAGTGCCTGGCGCCCGGGTCGGGCGGAGATGGGGAGCTTCCAGTTGCGCCCGGAAGGAGGACAGGCGTTTGTCAGGACAAGAGGAGCCAGCCTTCCAGGTGTGGAACCGCGCGTGCCAAAGCCTCCAGTCGGGGTAGGGCAAGTGCGCTCACTGTGCAGGGACAGCCCAGTGACCTAGACTGTTGGGTGACCAGGAGGGAGAGCTGGGGCCACTGGAAGGCCCTACCTGGGCCCCGAGGTGTTGGAGCTTAAACAAGAGAGGACTTGGCAGGGTTTTCAGTCTGGGGCTGACAAGGACAGATGTGCAGTTAGACACGTGTGGAGCAGCCCCTGGAGGAGGAGAGACAGGAGGCGTCCAGGCCGGTGGGGGGCTCAGGTAATAGCACAGGCCCCGGCCATGAGGCCTGAACTCCGGAAGGGGCAGTGGGGACAGGAAGAGAAGCATTTATTCTGATCGGTCACTTGGGAGGCAGGGACACAGGACTTGGTCATCAAAGAAACAGGGAGGGAGGGCGACGGTAAGGGAACCAAAGGAGCAGAGCCAGGCGGGTGGCATCGAGTGGCTTGAGCCCCCAGGGGAGAGGAAGAGGACAGAAAAGCGCTCTGACAGGGAAGCTGGCTTTGCGTGGGACCCCAGGTCCGAGGAGCAGCAGGAAACAGTGTGGGGATTTTCCTTCTCACTTGCAAAAAGGCCAGACCAAGACTGTACCTCAGGACTCGGCCAGCAGTCCCAGGGCGGCCTGGAGGAGGGGAACTGGCCTGAGCATTCAGCCCTGAGATGCAGGACTCAGCCCAGAGGCCCCGCCCTCTCTCCGCCTCCCTGCCGTCTGAGGGCCATTCCGACGGTCCGATGAGGTCGCTGACAACGCTGGGGGCTGCCACTGCGACTCTGGCCGACTGCTGCGGCCTGGACTGGACGCCTATGTCAAGAGACTCAAAAGGGCACTGCCTGTCCTCGCCCACCCTCCATGGGTTCCCAAGACCCACAGCTCCATCCCTGTCAGCTCCGCTCCACTCCTCCCCAGCTCCACTCGGCTCCGCCCTCAGCTGCTCCTCCCCCTGAAAGCTCCGCCCTGCTCCTCCCCGGCTCTGCCGCCTCTTCCAGGAGCGCCTCCTCACACAGTTCTTTCCCATGTCTCAGTCCCAGAAACTGCTCCCCCAGCTCCTCCCAGCTCCAGCCCACTGCGTCCCAGCGTTTCCTCAGCCCCGCCCCACTCCTCCGCAGCTCCACCCTTCCCCTCCCTCAGCTGCTCCTCCTCCTGGAGGCCCCGCCCTGCTCCTCCCCGGCTCTGCCGCCTCTTCACCCAGCTCTCCTCAAACACCTGCCCCACAGGCGCCTCCCTTAACTCCTCCAACCCAAGTTCCTTCCCCGCAGCTCCGCCTCCTTCCTCGCAGCTCCGCCCTGCTTCTCCCCATCTCCTCCCACAGCTCCTCCTCGCCAAGCTTCCTCACAGCTCCGCCCCGGCTTCTCCCTCGTCGCTTTCTCGAGGCTCCGCCTCCCCCTCCCGCAACTCCTTCTCCCCAGCTCTTTACCACAGGTCGGCCCCTGATACTCCTCCCCCAGCTCCTCCCAGCCCCGCCTCCTCCCCGCAGCTCCGCCCCTCGGCTCGCCCCTCCTCGCCCCTTCTCCGCCCCGCCCACCTCCTTGACCTCCTCCGGTGCCGCTCCCGGCCTTGGATTGCGAGCCTCCTTCAGGCCTGGTCGTCCCGCGCGCCACAGGGCCTGGCGGCTCCAACAGCGCCTCCTAGCGGCGGGGCCTACGTGGGAATGAGTCCTTGTTCCTAAGCGCGTGTTACGTAACTGCGTACCTGCGTGCTGCGTGCCTACGTGGTACGTGCTTCCGTACACCCGGAAATAAGGGGCGTCAGCGTTTCTGCGAACGGAGCGCGGTTAGGGTCAGCTGGCGCTGTCCCCTGTCAGTACTTCGGAGTCCCCAGGACGGGGAAGACTGTCCAGCCGCGTGGCCGCCGCCGGGCCGTCCCAGAGTCCCCGCGACTCGCGCCGCCCTCACGGAGCCAGGACCCATCCCGCCCAGCCCCGGAGGGAGCCGAGACTCGCCGTGTCCTCCGATGGTACCTCCTCGGGGCACTGGTTTCCCGGCTGTGGGGCTGGGAGCGGCATGGCAGCCGAGGCCGCCCTTTCCCATCCCCTCCCGGTGGAAAGGCACACCCGGGATTCCATGGAGGGGAACGTGTTGTGGGGCCCCCAAATCCTTCAGGTGTCGACTTCTCCTGTTGGATCTAGGGTCTGCTGGGCGGTGAGAACATGATCTACTTAGGTGAAGATTTTCTCTGCTGCGGGCTTGAGGCATCGTGGGGACCCTGACCCAGCCGGGGGACGAGAGACCCACTTCCCTGAAGAGCAGAAGCAGCCCCGAGTGAGATGCCATGTGTGTTTCTCCTCAGTCGGGCCCTTCTGGGTCCCGGTGGTCTCCAGTCCCTGATGAGGAGAAGACACTGTGGTTCATGTTGCTGTCTTCTAGCTGATGACCTTCTCTCCGTATCTCTCTCGTCCCCTGCAGGTGAGGAAGCTGAGCCAAGTGGAAGAGCGTTTCCTCCTAAGGCGGCGAGCAGGTACCCTCTGCATCAGCAGGTAGGAGGGCACTCCGCCCCCTTCTTCCCTTTACAGTTACCCACCCTCGGTGTCCATTGTCCTGGGCGGTTGTGTCAGAGGCCCACCGTCTGGGTGGCTTACACAACAAAAATGCCTCCCCTCTCGGTTCCGGAGGCTAGAAGCCTGAGATCAAGGTGGCAGCGATTTTTGGCCCTCCTGAGGGCTGTGGGAGGATCTGTCCCATCCCTCCCGCACTTCCAGGGGTTGGCTGGCAGTCGCTGGCCTCCCTTGGCTTGTAGAGCCCCGCCTCGTCTTCATGTGGAGTTCTCCTGTGTGTGTGCCTGCCTCTAAATTTCTCCTTTTTATAAGGACACCAGGCCTATGAGATGAGGGTCTACCCTGAGGAAGTCATTTTAACATGATGACCTTTGTAAAGCCCTTTCTGTTATCTGTAAGGTCATGCTCTGGGGTACTTGGCATTGGGACGTCAACACATGAATTTGCGGGGAACGCAGTGTACCCCATAGTAACCCACCAAGTCACTGAGTAGGAACACACTAGGAATGTTCCAGGCCTGGAAGGGAGGCCCTCATGGCTGCAGGGGGTAAATAAAGGGAGAGGAGAGCAGGCAGCCAGGGAAGGAGCCAGAGCGTGTGGTGCCTCGTGGGCCCCTGTTCCGCTTGGAGAAGAAAGCCCTAGAAGGGACTGGGCTGGGTGCCTTTGGGGCCATGTGCCCCGTCCTCACAGCCACGTGGAAACTGGGGCTCCGCCAGGTGCCGGGACCCAGCTGAGGTTCGGGCCTGGGGCCCTGCTCCTTCTGCCACACAGCTGTGTCCTCAGGGAGGAGGAGCCATCCTCCCCTCCAGGTACAAGGAGGCGAGGACGGGGTGCATGCGGTCAGGTCCCTGGAGTCACGCGCCATCTCTTTCTACCTTGGCGCCTCCTTCTCAGCTGTGGAGTGGGGTGACGGTAGCACTGCCCCTCCTGGGATATTGGAGGATCGATATCTCTGATTCCTGGATGTGGGTGGTGGTCGTGCCAGGGCCCAGCATGGAGTCAGAGCTTACACCGGTGCTGGTGGTTCCTGCTCTCATTTGTCGGTTCTCTGGGCTCCAGGCGGGGGCATCTGTGGACAGTGGAGGGCAGGGGTGCCGGAAGGGGTGAAGGAGGTGGCACCCAGAGGCGTGGGGAGGAGACACCTGAGATCCAGGGCATCCCCAGGACTGGGCTGAGGTTGGTAGCAAGGATTTGCGCTCCGCAGCCCAGGGGTAAGGGTGGTAATGGGGCATCTGCAGGGCACTGGGAGTGCTGGGGCCGGGGAGCTGCGGGGGGTGGGCCGCGGTTGGGAGAGAAGCAAAGCCCAGGACTGTCCCTGTCTGTGCTGGGAGAGGACCAGAGCCTGGCCACACGGCTGTGAAGCCGAGGGGCCCTCTCTACCTGCTCTGTGCTCCCCGGGCTCGGGGACCTCTGTTGTAGAACTGACCACACGCCTTTCTCTCCCTGTGCCCACCCTCCTTTGTGAGCCCCGCAGACTCCATCTGATGGACAGATCCTCCGAGTGACCAAGCTCCTCCTTTGGGCCTGTGAGCTGACTGCGTGAACACAGGGAAGGAGCCAGCGCCCTCTGATCCCCCACCGTCCAGGTCAGTGGAGGGTCAGGGCACCGGGGCACACTGTGGGGAGGTCAGGTCCACGGGCCGTGAGCTCAGAGGGCCGGCGCCTCAGACTTACTGACACTTGCTTCTGTGTTTCCCCAGCGACGTGAGGTCAGGGGAGCTGCAGGAGATGAAGTTCAGCTGCCTCTCCTTCCGGCAGCCTTATGCAGGTTTTGTGCTGAACGGGGTCAAGACCCTGGAGACGCGTTGGCGTCCCCTGCTGAGCGGCCACCGGCACCGGACCCTGGCCGTGCACATCGCTCACAGGGACTGGGAGGACACTGCCTGGAGGGAGCTGCTGGTGGAGAGGCTGGGGATGACCCCTGCCCAGATCCAGGCCTTGCTTCAGGATGGGGAGAAGTTTGGCCGCGGAGTCATAGCTGGCAAGTGGTGGTGTGCCCAGCCCTGCTCCGGAGCCTCCAACGGCAGCCCCCAGGCTCTCCCCCAGGGCCTCTGTGACTTCTTTTCTTTCAAATACCTTGGTGTGTGGGCTGCGGTTTCTTGGAGCAAGACACCTTCAGAGGGGCAGCCAGAGTCCATGGGCTGGCGGTTGGCGGGCCGAAGTTCCCTCACCGCCACTCGGGGCTTAAGTTCCCATTGGGCTCTAAGAGGCAGAGGAGGGTCCAGAATTTCCATGTGTGTGCGTGAGCGTGAGCGTGCGTGTGCACATGTGTCGGCACACCACAGAGACTGTGATGAACAGCGCAGCACCCAGAGCGGGTCAGGGGTCTGTGGACTCAGGCTGCCCTCCAGGCTTCCTACGCCTGGCCCAGCCCCACTGCCCGCGGCCTCCTGTGCCAGTCCCCTAATGCTGCAGCCACCTGAGCCAGTCCCCTAACCCCTCAAGGGTTGAGGTCCTGCATCAGCACCTGTCACCTGGCAGATTGCCTGGGGACCTGATTGCCCATAGGGTCCCCTTCTGATCGTGACTTGCGGTATTCATCACTGACATGGGTGGGGTCACTCCCTCGGACTCACCCCAACTTCCCTGGAGAGGGACGCTGGTACCTCGGAAATGCTCAGCCAGAGCGACCCAGTTCACTCTGGGTCCACGTGCTGATATCGCCTCCGTCTCTAGTGGTCGTGACCTTGAATAACCATGTTCTCTTAGGGGCAGGCCTGGTTTGTGGAAGGGAAGACATCTGGGTGCTTCTCTCTTTGTGCACAGGGCTCGTTGATGTTGGGGACACTTTGCTGTGCCCAGAAAACTTAGGTCCCGAGGAGGTTGTGGAACTGGAGAATCGAGCCGTCCTGAGCAACCTGCAGCAGAAGTACCTGACCACGCTCTCCAACCCCCGGTGGTTACTGGAGCCCGTG